TTTAGGAAACAGTATGTAATAATGATAGTGATAATAATAATAAAAACAATAATATTAATAATATAATAACAATAATAATAATAGACGATAGTTGAAAGATAAGAGAAGAAAATCGCTGTACACTATGAAACACACAGTTGGCAATTATTCAAATATATCGACAATAAAATGAAGTTGCAGCAACGATAAAACCACCAGTATTGCTGTTATTGCTGTTGACTGTTGGGTTGTCAATTTTTTTTTGTATTGCTTAATTCATTTGTAGAATTTTGCACGTTTCAAACATGGATAATCAAGTTGAAAAAAATCAACCTTTGAATTTTAACGGGACAGAGAAGAAGGAAAAAAGACAGGATGGTGTGAAGAGAGAGAGAGAGAGGGAGTATAAAAATTAAGAACGGAATAATAATAATTATAATCATAGTAATAACAATAGTAGTAATGATAGTAACAGTAATAGGAATAATATTAACAGTAACATCAGTATTAATAATAACATTAATAATGCGAACAATAATAGTGATAACGATAATGGTGATAGTAATGACAGCAGTAGTAATAATTATAATTATAATAATAGTAATGATGGTGATTATGATAATGGTAACAGTAGTAGCAGTAGTAATAAAGACAACAATGATAATAATAATGATGAAGAAAGTAAGAACAATTGTAATGGTTATAATGGTAAAAGCGATAACGTTAATAATATAATTTTATTGATATTAAAAAAAGTATTAAGGAAGATAAAAAATAATGACAGCTTCGGGAACGTTATGGTATTGAAAACACCGTCGATTGTAATTGCATCAATAGCAAAATTAAATGCAGGAATAAGGAAACAACGATAATCATAATAGTAATATTAATAAGAATAAGTTCACAACAGACTGATGGATTTTTCTGAAATCAAGAATATTATACAACTCAGCAAGAAAAAAGAAGGGGACGAAGGAGTGGAAAACCTTAAGTTTTGAAAAAAAAAAAGAATGAGGACGGAATAAATGCTGCAGTATACAAACGAGCTCTTAAACTGCATCAATTTAGTTTACTTGCCACTTAAATTATATCATTAACAAATAAGCAATAAAGAGTAATTATATTATTTGGAAGTTCTATTTCCGAATTTTGCGCTTTTCTTTCATTCGGTTGCAAAGTTCACCAACTGTTTTATTTTTTTTTTCCACCGGTAACTTTTATATGTTTAGGACTTTATCAATTTTTTTGAAACTTTAATGCCACAGTGAATGACAAACAGTAGATGACAACGACCAACAATGACAACAACAGAAGAGGATCGATAAGGAACTTTCGAATGGACAATAACTAATCTCTCCCTTTGTCTCTTTTTTTCCGAATCCCCCTTTCCTTTCTAACCGTGGTTTCAATCCCTGTTCAAAAAACTGTAAATTTTCAACATTTCGGTGGCCACTGCTGTGCCGCTGTGTGTACACGTCTTTGAACTACTTGTGAAACAATAGTATTCGCTTCAGAAAAGCCCGTAAATGCACCTTTGAAAGGCTGGTGAATGGTGTACGGGAAAGGGGTTGGAAGGAAATTGTTTACGGGGAGAAGGAAAAGCGAAGTGAAGGCCGACAGTAAACAACAAGCATCTGAACCATTTAACAGTAAGAAATTAGACTAGGAAGACGAAAGATAAAGATAAAGAAAAAAAAGACGATCGAAGAAGAGAGGAAAAAATTTCAGAAAATTTCTAATAAGTAGAAAAACAAACAGAAAAAAGTTCCCTTTGTTCTTCTTCAGCTTTTTTCC